CGTAGCAGAATGTTTACGTCAGCAGTGTAATTCGACAACCAAAGAAATCCTGCGATCACTATCAGCGGGGTCGAGTATCGCAGACATGATTAAGCATGTCGCGAAGGAAGAGCATCTAACCCCGATCCAGGTGGCTGTTCGCACCATACTAGCCAGAATAAAACTAATGAAAACTGTGAGTTTTTGTTCACAGGACCGGATCATCGGACACCCCCGTAACCCGTATACCCCGGTGACCAAAGAAGATGACAAGTCAGCAAACGTTCTGTCCAAGCCTGGAAGTTCCTCACTATCAGAAGTTGTGTTACAAAATAGGAGGGGAATGGATATTCTTTTCTTGCGACAGGGAGGCCTCTGCGCTGCATTAGGGGAAGAGTGCTGTTTTTATGCTGATCACACCGGAGTAGTCAGAGATACCATGGCCAAACTTAGAGAAGGTCTAGAAAAAAGAAAAAGAGACAAAGAAGCCCAACAAGGATGGTTTGAGTCGTGGTTTAACCATTCGCCATGGTTAACCACCCTGATATCCACCTTGATAGGGCCGATTGCGATGATCGTAATGACACTAATTTTTGGACCCTGTATACTGAACAAGATCGTGTCATTCGTCAAGAGTCGGCTAGAGAAAGTTAACATCATGTTCGTACAACACCAACAACTGCTTTAAAAATGTACCTACCCAGTGTTACCCTCAATCGTCCCTAAAAGTTAACTTCTACCTGTTTACTGTGCCTTATGTTTTCTATTCAAGTTTATAGCATATACTTTTTAACACTACTGTACAATATAGAATAAGAATAACAATAGAATTTTTAAGATTATATTTTAGCTAATTTACAAATGCATTTGTCTAAGGTACCTTATCTTTGTAATCGTAAGATTTTAATATTTACATTTTTTAAATTGTAGTTAAGGTTAAGTAAGGTTAAGTCTGGCCAGATATTAAGTTTAAGTCTTAAGGTTAAGTATTAACACTTTTATATTTTATATTAACCTATTTAGTTAAGCATAAGGAGGGGGGAAATGTGGATAGTTAGGGCCTGGCGGTCGGAAGATGTCGTGCTGTACGGAAAGGTAGGCCCCCCCCTCCTCTCCTGATAACCAGTAGCGTTTAGCCCATAGGTGTCAGCAGACGGAAGTGACGCTGTAAACCTAAGCTATATAATACTGTGCTACCCGTCAATAAACGCCATTTGCCGTCCACCACATTGGTGTCTGCGAGCTGATGGCCCGAGCGGCCTGGGGTTGGTCGCCGTGCCGTTCCTGAACCAGGTCGCCACGCCAACAAAGGCAACAAAGGAGGAATAAATTAAAATTGGAATAGCAGAAGACACAATAAAAACAACCCGTTATTTCCCGTTATTCCTTTTTATTCTGTTTTATTGAACGTTGCAGACCAGCTCCACTTGTGACAATAAGAAGAAATTTGGTGTCACGTACTAGAGTCCCGGTACAGACAAACTCACCTTTGTTTTATTTACATGTTTATGCTGTAAAAGCTAACATTATTTGGAGGCATTGGTAATGATGTTTTTTCACTGGGGAACTTAACAATTTTTGCTAACAAAGTATTTTGTATGCAGGTTTTCATAGATTAGAAAGGGTTATTTAGTAAGATGTATTTATTACCTTTTCCCCTAGTCAACGGTGAAATACTTAATAGTTAATATTTAGTTTTAACAGTTAATATTTAGTTTTAAGGTTTTTCAAACCTTAATGTTTCAACAAAAGATAATTGATTATATGACTGATCTGTTTAAAAGGGAAGAAAAACATCCAAATTGTATTAGATACTAAATGTCTACAAAAAAGTAGATTATCTAGTATGTAGACACGTTTTTTTGTCTTGCTGAGTCTCTCTTATGTTACAGTCCTGATCCTAAGGGACTGTTTATGAGTGTGGAGATGATAGAAGGTTGTTGCTTTTATTTTTATTCATGTTATTACCTTATGGGAATTATGGGGGTCAGCATTCCTACAAATGCAGAAGTACTGAGAGAGGCGGACACACCTGCTTATGACTAAGGTGAAGTAGTAAAAGGGATGAGAAAATTGAGAAATTCCCATTAACTGGATGGTTTTCCACAGATAAGAAATTAGCATTCCTTCTGTAATATTAGTACTATTTGTTATTAAATGGCAACGTTGGATTTTTAAAATTAGAACACTTGCCTTTCACACTGGTGAAGTTTAATAGATCCCTGTTGAATTAAAACTACTTAGAGAGTTTGAGAGAAACTGAGTGTAGATGTACAATAAAATGTTTATGATACAAAAACTGGATTATAATGAGATAAGATAGCGTTTAAATTACACATCTCGAGCATGCATATATAATGAAATGCTACTTGTCTTAAGTACGATCACAGGAACATATAAATCTGCTGTGACAAAGTGGTTGGATATAATTCAGGCACGAATGAATAGCTCCGCTTAGCAGAGATTGTTGTCAGACTAAATGGATTATGTAGGCCTACGATGCTTGCTGCATACCAAAACTAAGGCTGAACAGTGGTTTGTATGAGAAGCAAGTATTGCAAATATTTCTTTTACAGAGTTCAAGAGCATAGCTGCACCTTAAAACATATCTTTTAAATCACATCATCTCTTTAAGCTTGACATTACCTGTCAGTCATGGAAAGATAGGTAAGAGAGAATAATTTCGTATTGATGTATTTATAGAATGAGAAAGTAATTATCTTCAGATTGATCTTGTTTTTAATTACTGCAATAAAATGTTACCTGGATTGAAGTGGAATACTGCAACTGTAAATGATACAAATAGATGACCTCTAAAGGTCCCTTTCAACACAGTGTTCTATGATTCTATGATTTTTCTTTGTAATTCCAGCATTTTCTAAAGTGCACAAACTACTAATGATAACTTGAAGCTAAGTAATAAATACAAATACAGCAGATGTAACACCAGGAATGAATGTTCACAGGAAAATCATGTGTTATTAAGTACATATGTGAGAACACACGAAAAGTCATCATGTTTATATAGAGCTTATTCCGTCACCATAGTTCCATTGCTGGAAATCATTATGGTTAAAAGTAAGATCAACTAAAGACCAGTGTTGACATTTGATGCTCATTACATATATACGTAGCAGCATAGTTGGAGAAGTAGGGATAGAAAGATCCTCAAGATGCCACTGTTCCTCCCCTACAAAAGTGACATCAGCTGCATATAGGCATAGTATTAATACCACGTACAGGAGAGTCTGCAGAATTCTTAGTAGGTCTGTTTTAACAAGTGAACTCAGCTTATTACCAGTAGGAAGCTTGCAAGGTTTTGTCCCTGTTTAGTTTGAATCTTTATTACTGCAGTTATTATTTCTTTTCGTGTCCTCTGCGGACATGGAGAATGGTTATTTCCTTCCTCTTGTGGTTTTGGAGACTATGAACTAGGTTTCCCTTTGGCCACATTTTCTCTACAATTTACAACCTTAGCTTATTCAGCTTCTCTGTGAAGACTGTTATCCTTCTTGCTGTTCTTGTCAATAGACCTTCTCCAGCTAGTTCACCCCTATACATTTGTGGTGTTGCATTTTCTGATTTTTTTTTTTTTTTTTTTCCATGAGAAAGGACACTGTGTTTTAACTGCAGTGGAGTAGTTTGTGAGGTGGCCTGTATTCTAATGTAAGAGCTGACTTGTTTGTTGACACACGTTGTGTTGCCTGCATTATTCCGTTGAAAAGGTCAGCTGTGAAATTCAGTTTTTGAGGCTTTATTTATTCCTAATTTTATTAATTACTAATTTTTCCTCTGTATTGCAAACTAGCGTGGCGATTCATGGTTTTCGTTTTTCCCTCTGGTTTTAATCAATGTGCCTATTTTTTACCTAGTCTTTGTGGTACTCACTTAGACTTGTGCTATACTTTCACAACCATCCTGAGTATCTTATTGAGTCTCTGTTGTGTCCATATTCATGTTTGCTTATACTTCCTATATTTCATATGGCTTATGACGTCAGTGACGTGTTTCTTTTCCATCCTTTGTATTTTGTCCCTTGATTTGTAAATTTGTACTTCTTTCTTCTGTTGAAATAGTAGCGCTTTTTTTTTTTTTTGATCCTTTCATACTTATTCTTAGTATTGTCCACCAATCCTGTGAACGGGTTTTTTAAATTCTGTTGTATTTGTTTGGGAAGCTTGTTGGAGAGTCTCTGCTAGTTTTTTAGCAACCTAGAAATGGTCAGAAAAGAAAATTCCAAGCCATCTGATCCTTCATATGCCTCCACATAATTGTTTTCCTCCTTAGTCATTACTTAGACACCCACAAAGGAAAGAACAGATCTTGCTCTGCCTTGCAGTCTTCAGCGATAGTAACACCTCTTTTTATCTGAATGTATTTTTCAAGCCAACTCTTTTTCCATTAACATCCAACACTTATGAATTTAAACTCCCTTCAGTTCCCACGAAGTCACTTCTATTACTTAAATCTCATTTTTATAACTATGTTACTTAATACTCACTTTACAGTATTTCACAAACTTAAATCATGCCTTACAGGCAACCAAGCCATGTTCATAATCCGGCCCTTTCAGGTAACGTCAACTAAAAACTGTTATAAACTCTTCCAGTTGTAATATTTCCAAAAGGAAAAATCAAGCTGTATTCTTCCTCCCCCGCCCCTCCAACAATTAAGAACTCAGTTAAACAATCCCCTTGGCTAGAGTGGAATGTTACGGAGGTGCACATCTTTTTTCCTTGTTACATGTATATGAGAGAATTGTGTGTATCTGTAACTTCATCAGATATTCACTATAATGTGTTCTTGGGAGATTTTCATGTAAGGATTGAGATTCACAGCTTCAGAGTCCTGATCATAACAAATCTACAGGAAGCTTTTGATAACTCCTGTTAATAGTGCATGAATACGTGTGACCTGAAATAAATGAAGGATTTGCTTAACTGATTGTCTTCATGGCTGTTAACATAGAATGATTTTCTATTTGAAATTCTTTACCTGGTCCATTTCTTTAATGAGAAAAGTTGTTTGTAAAGTAGCGTGTAAAACGAAGTAATTCTAAAGCCTGCCAAGTCTGGTAATTCACAAAAGCACAGTACCTAGATTAAGAAGTAAGTTCTTATTGTCAGTCAGGAGTTTATACCATTCCTTTGCAGTGTCTTTGAGAAAGGCCAAGGAGGTACAGACTGTTCAAGAGATTTTTTTATTTTTTCAGAGGTAGCAACGTTATGGTTTTTTGTTGCCGTGACAGACAGAGTTGTGAATTCTTTAAAAGTCAACCTCTGATCTGTAGGAAGAAAAGTATTTGTTGTTTAGAAATTCAGCTTCGCAGTCTCCTCTTGAAATTTGGTGGCTTCAAAGAGTCTGCCATCAGCATGTCTGTTCTGACTGAAATGGAAGGTAAAATTGAAGTCCCCATTAATTCTCTGAAGTTAGTCATGCTTCACACTAAGTAAGGCTTCTACAGAAGTCCTTTGTAAAGATCTAGGACTGTGATGTGGAATAAGATGTAACTTAAAGTAGTCTCCGACACTGACCAGCAACCACACTGCTCTTTACCCTCTTCTTCCTCACCCAGTTTAGCGTTTTGACCTTACTGGTGTACACATGCTCAGCCTTGACGTTGTCTTTGATCTGTCTGCTAGCACTGGGCCACAGTCACATTGGAGCATTTGCAGATGAGGTTGAGGTTTCAAAGATGGCAGGAAATGTCAGTGTTCTGAACACTCATGAGAAGAGACACAATTAGAGGAGGAACTTCTTTCACTGAATTCTTTCTGAATACAGGTTGTCATAAACTAGCAGGCAAACTTATTTGCGGAGATGCTTTGTAGTGAGGTATGCAGTCCAGTTATCTTGTCTACAGCAACTCTGGACAAGATAGCACGAACATCCCCCCTCATTCTGCATCTGCACTGACGAAGCTAGATGTCTTGATGACAGGCATGTTGTATTTTGCCATGTTCAGAGTCACAAATTCTGTGAAACTGTGTGCTACTGTATGTCACAAGAGGGCAAGAAAAGCAAGACGACCATGTTTCTGACTGCTGGCAGCTGCGGTGTGAAATTCTTCCATCCCCATAGTCAGCTCTTCCTTTGTTAGCTTGGGCGACCTTACTCTGGTGTGACTACTTGTGCTTGTGCGCCTAGCTTGTCCTTGTGCTTATCCTAACTCTGCCTTCTGCTCCCAGCCTAGCTCTGTGTTTCTTTTGGGTTTAATTTCCCCATATATACAAGTCTAGCTGGACTACAGAATTGTGCTGCTGAATTTGAATAAAAGCGGCTTGAATTTAAAAGAGAAAAACAAAGCAAAACCATCCCAAAGGATAAAGAGGTCACAGAAAAGTCATTACAAGCCTGGTAAGACTTACTCAATTCCTTTCTCAGCTTTTAGCAGTTTGGAGGACTTGGGATCAGAGATGTGTCTTGCTAAGAAGTTGCTTGTCTACGTCTTAGTGCAGTGATCTAGTGTTTGGCCTGAAACTTCTGTCTAGTCATTCTAAACAAGGCAGTCTGGACTGCTGACTGACCTGGTACTGAGGTTTTGACTCTACCCTTGTTTTGCAGGGGAAATTTAGACAGGGTTAAAAAGCAAAAATACATCTTCCTACGTAGTACAGGACTGAGCTTCTGCTGTGGCTCAGAGGAGAGTTTCAAAACTGGCATATATCCTTTAATATTTTATGAGTAGTCATGAATATAAACATCAGCCTTAATGAAATTGTCTCCTGTATTTTTAATAAACCGTACTACTTGTCTCAAATCACTCTTGTACTTAAACGATGGAGTAAATCATTGGTATTAAAAAAAATCAATATTAACATAGTTTGAATGTGTATTTATAGTGGGATTATATGCACTTACTTTTAGAAGTAAAGCTCTGTGAAGATGAAATCTAATTCCTAGTCCTTTTACTTATACTCTGTAGTAAGCCTAGGCATACAATTGAAAGCTTATGTAGAAAAAAGTTGTACCGTAGCTTGAGGATCAGATTTTTAAGAGCTACAGCACACCACAACTCTATTTCAGCATTAAATGGCTAATTTTCATAATTGTTTCCTCTAAGTTTCCTTTAAAAACATCTGACTCTTGTAGAGAAAATCCTGCCCTATAGCAGTATTTTGTAAGTAGTGTATGATTAAGTACACTGTATTACAATGTTTACCCAAAGCAAGCACATCAGAAGCATATTCTTGCTAAGTGGCTGTGAGAAGTAATATTGTTGATACGTGCTTGCCTTTTGAATGCCTTATCAGTTTGTTTAGTTAACAGATTAACTTTTATTTACCAGATACAAATTCAGTCTTTTACTCAGACTTTTCATTTCTTTCACATATCTAATTATATGCAGCTGAAGGCTGTACATAAAAATTGTTTGGGGGGACAAATTCTTATTGGTGGAAGTATGTAGGTAGAAAAAGTCTAGTTGCACTATGTGTCAGCAACAAACTAACAGGAAGCAAAGCCTTAAACCACAGCAAGTACAGAACTGGCAGTGAAATTAACAGGATGTACCTGTATAGAAAGGCATACCAAGATTTTTTTAAACTTGTTTTATACAAACTATATCCTTTTCTAAGCAAATTATTAGGTGTTCATGTTTAGCTCATTCCTCCTGTGCTGTTCGGAGGAAGGAAGAACAAGCATGTTTTATGAGTGAAAGACACACATTTTAATAAAGCTGCTAATGTGGATGGTGACTGTCGGTGTGAGCCATAGCCTAGAAGGGGCTGCTCAGTATATATTACTGAGAACCTGTTCCTGTGAAAGTAAAGAGTGCTAAATAGCTCTCTGTATCTGCTCAGTGTCACTCTGGGATTAAGTTTCTGCATGGTAAACTCCTTTGAAGATAGCAGCAACTCCTACTAGTTTGTAAAGTGTGATGAGTTCTTATGTCAGTGTATGCATCATCAGCCCTCAAATCGTAGGTTAAATTTGTGGGACAAATTTACAAAATTTGTTTGAACCTTCCCCCTGCCTTTTCTTTTGCATATAAACTGTTGTAAACTGAAATTCTTGGATGAATGTGCATTGAAAATGGTTGTTTTCAATTGTATTTCTAAGATGTCAGTTGTAGTGTTCGTAAAGTGAACTTGTAGTGCTTCACAATCATTATGGTTTTGAATTAGTTTTGAGAATATGAAATACATAAAATTTATTATTTTTTAATTGTTGAAGAGATGCAAATGATTTGAAAGCTCTGCCATCCCAGAATTAGGATACTTTACTCATCAAGGAGTTGGGATCTTAAGACAAACATCTGACAACAGTGACCAATTTCCTAGATTCAAACCTGGAGTGGGAGGTAGTCTGTAGCGAGATACCCCCTTGCTTTTGATTTTGTGTAGAATGATTCTTGGTTAAACTAAAGAGATACCAAATTACTATAATGTAAGTAAGGTTTAAAAAAATAGTGGACAAAGGAGTTTCTATGTACTTCTATTTGCCACAGACTTAACCTTACAAATTTCCTGTTTCTATTTACACTTTTTTTTAATGTTCATTTTGGAAGGAAAGATCATGACTCTGTTCTTAGTAAATAATGTTGACAGTACGGATCCATGTAGTGTTGAATCATAGAATCATAGAATAGTAGAGGTTGAAAGGGACCGTAAAGATCATCTGGTTCCAACCCCCCTACCATGAGCAGGGACACCTTCCACTAGCCCAGGTTGCTCAGAGCTCCATCCAGCCTGGCCTTGAACGCTTCCAGGGAGGGGGCAGCCCCAGCTTCTCTGGGCAGTTTAGAGCCATTCCCCCTTGTCCTACCACTACACACCCTTGTGAAAAGTCCCTCTCCATCCTTCCTGTTGACCCTCTTCAGGTACTGGAAGGCTGCTGTAAGGTCGCCCTGCAGCCTTCTCTTCTCCAGGCAGAACAGTCCCACCTCTCTTAGCCTGTCGTCGTAGGAGAGGTACTCCAGCTCTCTGACAGTTTGCTGGGGGGTTGTGGGGGGGTGAGGATAGTCAAATATTGGAATACTAATTCTGGGCTTATTGGTGCACTGGATTCAGTTCCTCTTTCATTTCAGATACTTCCCGTATAGTCCTGTATGAGTGTTAAGCTCAGGATCTCAATGTCTTCAGCACTACAATTCTGACTGAACCTAACTGATGAAATTGTATTTTTAGATGTATCCCCAGTGAGTGATAATGGAGTGCACAGATTTGAAGTACACCTAGTTTTTATCTACTCAAAACCCATTATTAAAAATTTTTTTCTTCCCTAACCCTTTTTTTTTCCCCTATCCCCCTGCCTTCCCCTTGAGAAAGAAGGTTCTTGCCTGATTTCTGGAGGAGTGGTGCAGGTGCCCAGCTCCCCTGGCTTAAAAGGTGTGGGGTCACAGTGGCATCAGGAATTTCTCTGTGTGAACTTAAGTACCTATATCATGCCTGTGCCTGTGTCTGTGCTCTTGCACCTAGTGGTTCTTGATAGGTGGCGTGAAGAGCCCACGTTCTGTACTGGCTGTTGTTAACCTCATTCTCACACACCTTGTTTTCTCTGACAAGCTGTACTGGCTTCCCTTTCCACTTCAGAGCACAAATAGTCACATGCTGTTTCACCTACATAAAGCTCTTTGTCTGCCACATCAGCTACTCTTCATAACCTCTGAGGTGCTATGCAGAATTAATTTCTTTGTCACATGCTTCAGACAGTCAGCCCTTGCTTTGTATTTCTTCCTGCTTTCTGATGGAGGCAGTTCTGAAGACTACGTGGTGATACTGCTGAAATACTGATTCAAGAGAAGTAATGCAGTCTTTGTTACAAGGCCAGCTTTTTCTCAGATTCTTCCTTACCAGCATACTTGACTAGGTAGTTTTTGAGGCTTCCAATACTACTTAAATGACAATACCTTTCACAGGTTTTTATAAACTAACTTACAGTGGTGTCCTGCAAAAACCTCAAGAATTTCCATGTTCATTAAGTGAACGCTTAATAGACAGTTCTTCCTCTGGTACCATTGCGAAATGTAGAACCCAACAGGAAGGAAGAAGAAAATGCACAGTAAAATTTTCAATAATGTCCTGTAGTTGTGGACCATGAATTGCTGATGTTCTTTATAAGTACAAGGTTCAAAATGGGGTGATTGTAGTAGTTTTGTGGCAAGTGAACAAATGGCTTGAACAAATTTTGCTAGAATACGTATGTTAAATTTTGGTAAACAATTCAAAACATCTTTGGTTCAAATAGACATTAGAGAATTATATGATTAAACCGTTGGAAAATATTCCTGATATATTGCTTTATCAAGCTTTCATTGATCACTTTTGTGGGTGGCTTTTTCCTCCCCCTTAGGAGCTGAGAGAGAACCAACAGCTTTTGGGTGGTAGCTGAGCGATGGACTTTTTCTGAAATTTAAGTATAATTTGGAGAAGATGAGTGGCAGTTACATGGAATATCTGGAAGTATGTATTTGTCATGAATTCTTTAATAATTATTGTCATTTTGTGTGTGTGTGCATTGAAGGTATCCTGAATTAGCAGCTGTGTGCAGAAATCCCAATACTTTGATTCTGTATCCAGGAGCTGAAGCAACCAATTTGGAAGACGTTGCTATGATGTCTTCTTGTCCACCTGTTATGATCATCATTGATGGAACATGGAGTCAGGCTAAAGATGTATTTTATAAAAATTCTCTCTTCCGGCTTCCCAAGCAGGTGAGTTCTAATATGTAAAATAAAAATTTTAAGTGTGTCTTAATAGATGCTTGCTTTCTGACCAGTCAGAAGGTAGTGTTTTCGTGAGGATGAAAATTATGGAAATATTTTTTCCTTCACAGCTGTAACCAGCTGACAAGATAGGAAAACCTGAACAATTTAATAAAACAACCTATAGGACTGTGAGAAAGATGACTGTAAATATTGGGGGTTTTCACTTTGTCACTTGAAATTTGTTTTAGTTTGGTTTGAGTTAATGCATCTGACTTCTTAGTGTAGGAAATCTTTGCCTGTTACCAAAGATGTTAGAACATATACAATGAGATAAGCATTTTTCTTCCCCCTGCATAAGTATGTTGCATTGCAGTAATAGGAAAGATGAAAGTAGAATTTTGTATCAGCTATGTTCCTTAGATTTAACCAGAACAAATAATGGACACGTGGTTTGAGGGTTTGGGTTTTTTTGGTTACCTTACTCCCTTTAGGAACATCAAAACCCACCCACCTGAACCTGCCAGTAAGACTTAAACTGTGGTGATACAGTTATTACAGCTATCCCTGCCCTAATGAAAACACACTAGATTGTAATACAGTGTAAACAACATTAGTGGACATAGGTTCCTGTTGCTGCATTGTGAATGGTATGATGCTACTTTTCAGTGAGTTTTTTTAGTGAATAATTGAATGTGGCTTTGACACAGGAGAAGTTAATTTCGTATGACTCAGTTGCTGTTATTGAGTAGGTTTTTCTCCTGTTATTAGGTTGAACTCATTTATATTTATGCCATATAACACACCAGGTGGTATTTCTTTGTGTACTACAATGGTGTGTCTAAAAGCTCTGATGTCGTACACTGCAGTTTTGTATCTGCCTTGTGCATCATTCATAGCCAACTTCTAAATCCAGAAGTTGGAAAATGTTACTGGTTGGATTCTTCAGAAGTCTTTGAAAGGAAACAGAACTTTTTGATTTTGTAGTTTTGTCGTATGCTTGTCAATGGAGCATGGAAAAACTGATCATTAATTTTTTTCTGTGGCTGGAACTTGTCTGTGAGACCAAAGTTTGAATTTGTTTGGAAGTCAAATTGCTGTCTAAAGTTTAGTGCTGCTATTGCTTTAGGTTTCCTCTTATGCTGCTTCTTACAATGACATTCTTGATTATGCTCCTGACCAGTTCCCCTACTGGTAGGAGGCTGGGGTGTGGCAGAGGACACAGCTCCTTGAAGGGTGAAGGGCATCTGGCCCTTTTGAAAAAAAAGATACGTACCTCCTTGAACTGTCAAATGCGGCCAACACAGCTCTTGTGTAAGTAGCTGTCTTGACTGCAATTTTTGTTCTAGTTTATAACTCGTTCACAGTTTCTCCTTTATTGTACTTTTTTGAAACTTCTGGGGACTGCAGGCCTTTGATGTGAATTCACAAATGTGTAAGTGTTCTGAAATGCTTGTTTCCATCAGCTAGCTGAATCTGGCTGTCTAAAATCACATATAGGAGCAGTTTTGCTACAGTTCAAAATGGGGCAGCATTTTGTCCTTACCATTTGGGTTCTTGTAGATTGCATGATGCCTGTAAGATATTTCTACCAATGTATTGTTAGAATAGTGTGTATTAGAGGGAAGTTTTTCACCAGATACAAAAAATACTCCGCACTGGGTGCTATAAACAAGGATTTTGTTGCTGTTTCTTAAGTATTTCCAGAAGACCAGGGTTATTTGTCCATATATAATTTATTGTTAAAGCTGCCTTTTTCATTCAGGGGCATTACTGAAAGTATTTTGTGGAAGAATTATTAAGACCAACAGTTTTACTAATGGAAAAAAATTCTCTTCATCATTGGATCACCTTTTGAGCAGTGAAAAGATGACAACCCCTTCAGGAGGGGAGAGGAGATGTCAATTTGCAAACTTAAAACCCAAAGCCTGAAGACTATGATGTTAGAGTAGTTTAAATGGAGTACTGTTAGACAACATGCTGCTAATTCAAAAGAGGGCCACTGTAAGTTTTATAAGTAGTTTGCTTTAAGGGATGAAATCAGTTTTATATCAAATCTGGGAGTTGCTTTTAGAATCGTACTATAGTATAGCAATTAGGTTATAGTGATGTAGGTGAAACGGCAGTGTAGATTATAGGTTTTAGTCAAATGATTTTGGCCTTCAGAGGAATATGGTGAAACAGATGGAATTTGCATCAAGGAAATTACGGGGTTCATTCAGGTGTATTTCATTTCAACTGCAACTTTATGAGTAGTTTTTAGGGAATTTATTTCACTGCAATCCATTTCAAATTCTGCAGAACATTTGTCCTGCACTGAGGCACCTGACAACAGATACGTGAATTGTCTTCAAGTGAGAAAGCTTTTCCATTCACAGTCTCTTTAGTTAGGCCCTAACAAATTTGCCAGCAAAAGTGAAAGTCACAAATTCTGTAAACTGGCTGTTCTCAACTGCAGAGTGTATTCCTGAGTTAGAAAAAGCAGAATAAAATGCTTTTTCCTAATCTATTTGCTTGGAGGGAGGGGGAGATAAAGGGAAAAAAAATGGTCATCACTCTTGTCTATTCCTTTTAAAACTTGCAAAAATAGTTTTAGCTTTATTAGCCAAAGCCACTGATTATTCCTATTCTTATGCAGCTTCCGTGTTGGGTTTTTTCTTGTGGGTTTTTTTTTTTTTTTTTTTTTGTGGTTTTTTTTTTGGCAAGGGGAGACAGAGTAATACCTTTAAAGATAAAATCCAATGGCTACACCTGAAGTCCAGCCCACCATTCCACAACAACCCTTTTGTATCTTTTCTGTTAATTTCTACTGTTCTTAGTGTCCCTTTCTTGAAAATTAACTTGGGGAGTAGCTTACGTGTTCTGCATGGCCTTTCTTTTTGCTTCCCTTCTCTTACGTACTTGATGCTGACAGAACTTTGTCTCACTGGGTACATGTAAGACAGGCAGTCTCTGCAAAACCTGGAACAAGCAGAAGTGTATTGCATATTTTTAAAGGTAGGGGTTTTTGTCCAGTCATTTTAAAACTGACAACTTATTTACTTCTGTGTAATTAAACTTTGACGTCCATGCTACTTTCCTCTATAAAGTTGAAGCCTGAGCATTGCTTTAAGTTTTATTTTTTTTTCTGCTGACATTTAAGACTGTCTTCAGTAGTGGATTTTGATGTTTTGAAAGATCAGTTATTTGAGTGTATTCCAGGTGATTGCTGCTTTATGGCACTTAACTGCTGCCTCTTGCCTGCCCCTAGTTAGTGTTCTTGGCAGATCAGATCAGTGAGAGCATTATGATACGAGAGAGGACTGTGTGTAGATAATCCATTTTGTTATCTGTCTCTTCGCCTCGATGGCATCATCTTTGATGTAGCTTCTGGGCTGTTACTTAGCACAGGTTACTGCTATTTCCAAATAATAATTGCTGTAGTAGAACCTATTTCTTATCCTGTATTATGAGCTATAAAAATTAATTTTGGTCATATCAGTTGTTAACATGTAAGCTAAATTCGGATTCTGATGACCTGTTGAAACAAAAATAGCTGAACATAAAAGAAATTGACAGTATTTCTGTGTTTAGAAAAAGTGAATATTTTGCATTTATTTTTACTATGATTACTGGATTTTTTGGTCATGGTGTTTGTCTCATTTCACCTTATTCCTTATTAACACTTATTTCTCTCTGCTTCACCCTTGCTCATTATTACTGAGAATACTAAATCAGGAGTTAACCAGCTAGTGAAACAGCGGTTGGTTACAAGATAACTCTTGAGAATAATGAAGGGAATTAAGTAACATGAGGTGAAGTCCCATTTCCATATGGGAAAGGTATTAGAAATAAAGTATCTTCCAGATACCTTCTTTAAACAACTTCATGCTGAAATTTTGTTCCATGTGTTATGGTTCCATTTTGCCTGTGAACCATACTTCTACTTAAATGAGTATAAAGAAGATAGCCATGCATAAACCAGCAGAATGCATTAGTAGTAACAAATGAAAAGAGAGATAGTAAATCTAGTTTTGTCCACAGAGCACAATTTTATATATTCATAATGGAAATGCGGGGGCATAAAAAGAATCTATATTATGTGTAGAACTAAAATATTTGTTTTAACCTGCCAAGAACAGCATTGAGTAAATAAGGTGCAGAAAATATACAGTACTTCAGAGTAAGTTCTTCTCTTACTTAACCTTCTTTGTTACAAATAAATTCATTTGGTCACACTGATTTAACTACAACATCACCTGAGATGCCTGTCAGAAACACCTGACAAGAAACATATCTATGAAGAAAGTACACCCTGCTGACTTGCTAGTCATCCAAATTCTTCTTCGCCTGTTTCTGATTGCAGAAGGTGTCTGAGAGGATAGAATCATAGAAAGTTTTGGGTTGGAAGGGACCCCTAGAGGTCATCTAGTCCAACCCCACCGCAGCGAGCAGGGACACCACTAACTAGATCAGGTTGCTCAGAGCCCTGTCCAACCTGGTCTTGAATGTTTCCATGGATGGGGCCTCCACTGCCTCTCTGGGCAACCCGTTCCAGTGTTTCACAACCCTCATTGTAAAGAATTTCTTCCTTATATCCAGCCTAAACCTACCCTGTTTTAGTTTAAAACCATTACCCCTCATCCTGTCACTGCTGTCTCTGCTAAAAAGATTGTCACCATCTTTCCTATAGGCTCCCTTTAGAATTGAAGCCATTAATCTGGTCTGTATGTTATCATTACAGAAAAACTCAAAAATAAACTCATTAAAATTCTTCTGTTTTTCAAAATCCAGATGGTTTCAACTTCTTGTTTTGTTTTCAGAAGTATGTAATGTTCTATTAGGCCTTTCGGGTTATCTGAGTGATTTAATCTTATAGCAAGAATGAAAGTATCCATGGGTAAAGTTTATGGGATCATAAAAGGTAATTATTTGGAGCGGGGGTTTGTAAGGACTGTGAAAACTGCCAAGTCTCTAATACTCAGACCTTACCATACCTTTGAAAATTTACTGTGTTCCATTCAGACTTT